CCATATTTCGGTTCCCGGCTAAGTCGATCAGCCTCAACCCAATAGGGGATGTTTCGTTGTGGAGGCTGAACTGTCCAACAGTTGTACCAAAGATACCTTCTTTTCCCAACCTGGCATTAAAATCGGCAAATACGATTTTCACATCGTCTCTGGGGCAGCGCTCGTAAGTGTGCTCTAGGCGCTCATAAAAGGCATCTTTGGCCAAATCGTCTCTCTCTTCTGTCGGGGCGTGGGTGCAAATCAGCGATATGTTGAAAAATTTTACTTTGATGCGGATTGCGGGGAGACTCTCATCCACCGGGGTGAATGCTAGTACTCAACGACTGAGTTTCTCTCCCACCACAAATTTAACACCAAATTTGCGCTCCTTTATATGACCGCTGTGGTAAATGTCATAAGAACTTACTCACTTTCGTCCTTGTTCCGTCCGTCGGACTTCTTCGACGGCGGTGATGGCAGCCTCTATTCTTACGAGGACATCAACCAGCTGGGCAGCGGCACCTTCCCAATTAAGGGACCGGACATTCCAGGTGCTCGCCTTCAAATCATGGTCTTTAATTCGTTTGCGAGGATCATCAACAGAAAGGGTGTATCTTATCCGAGGCGTTGCAAAGTTTTTCATTGGCGAGTAAGATTAAAGTTTTTTACACATTTATATAACGAGCCCTGCCTTGCTTCAAGACCGTCGGCCGCTCTGCATACCCAGAAGCTTGACTACACCCATTACACAACCAGAATATGACAACGAAAGAACGCTTGGAATTATCCAGGAAATTTGCGCACACGTTTTGCTAGGAAAACAGTTATGGACATAACAATTGAATTTGAACAGAAAACGGTAATTATAAATGCACATTATTGAGCTTTTCGTAACAGTAATGGAAATAAATTACAGTTTCTTCACAAAGTAGTAAAACTATGCAAAATTTGTAAGTTAAATAAATAGACTCGCGACTCAGTTTTTCAAACCATCAAGTTTAAGGATTCCATTCGACCCTATCCGAAATAATACGCAGCAGAAAATCAGAAAACATTTATGAAACAGTCTCTGAACTTTTGGGCAAAACAATCTTTGAAAATAACAGTAAATTCATTGAACGACCCGCAAAAGATCACTTAAAATATTACCGATGATAATCGACCACTTAGGTAGCCCATGATCCACCTCTGCAACCCCGGCGGTAATGAGGATTCCTCAATGTCTGTTAGTAGCACTGAATTGTTGTCAAAAGCTTTTAACAAATCTAGTGCTACTAGGACAGTTCGCGCGCAGGGTCGGTTTTGGTTAAGGCCATTTACTATCTGGGTGTTTATGGCGTTTAGTGCTGTTTTTGTGCAAGGCCGCAAGTGTCTTCGCCACTGGGGAGAGGAGAGTTATCGGCCGATAAGACTCTCCTTTGTTGGCTGGTTTACCCAGCTTGAGTAGCGGGACCACCCTGCCCGTTTTTCACACCTCAGATATCATTAGGGTGGTCAAAGATAAGTTGAGGACCCCAGTGAGAAATTCTGCTCCCTCTGGTCAGAGGTGTTTTAGCATAAGCATGCTTATTCCGTCGGGGCCGATGGATTTGGAGGCGTCCCGATGACCCCCAGAACCTCTTCCCTAGAGAAATAAATTACCGCGCTGGTATTTGGCAGTTTGCGCTTACGGCGGGTTACACGTCGCTTCGCTTTGTCTACCGAAGGATGCAGTGTAAAAAGTCATCTAAAATAGTCCGACGAGACGCGATCACCGAATGAAATTTCCACCCAACGCTTGTCAACGACTTGACTGTAGCCCAGAGCTTTGTTGCCCCAGAGGAGAGATTACAGGTTCTCAAGTGTTCCTCCCACTTTTTCCGCTTATAGTTGTTAACTACTCTGCGAATCTCCGCGTTTAATCATCTGATTAGGGGATTCCCGGGATCGGGGTTTCGAAGGTTGTCGCACCTCGATGCTAATACCGCCGCTTCTTTCGAAAAATTTGGGTGGATTTCCGCAATTCGGCCTTCCGGGATGAAGCTGGCGGCAGTGGTCACAACGACCCTGCGGAATAAACGTTTACCAGTAGTGACGTCTGATAGAGAGTGTTCTCGGTGAATTCCGTGAAGCCGGACCAGTTAGCTTTTTTAAAGTTGACAAAGGTCCGGCGGAAACAAAGAGGCCTGTCAATCGAGATTTGTAAGGGTAAGTGGTCCCATGCTAATCTTAGCACAGGGCAGTAGACTATACTGTTTATCAAACCAGCACTCGTAATTGTTATATCTGGTGAGTTTTGGCAATTACCAATAACTCTGGTGGGGGTGTTATCGTTCGTTGTACAGAATGTCGAATCGTCTATCTGTTCCGCTCCATTCCTGTACCGTCGTTTGACAGGCTAGAATGCCAGAGATGGTGCCCCTGAGTAGCGCACCTATATCAGGGCTGTATGCAACTGGGCAACTTGTTACAGGAGGAATATATATATCAAATATCTCGAGCTCGGCATCGCCTGAACGGATGGCTATGCCCTGACATTCTAGGGTAGTACCCCTGCGGTCGATGTCGCCATCGATAAAATGATAATGCACGGTGTTGTGCAGGATGAACGCTAGGCCGCTAAGCCCCCACCATAGTCTTGCTCGCGATCCTTGCGGATTATGTTGCATCCGGCCCGTCTCAGAAGATCCGAGCGAGCGGTCAACTTGGTTTCCTGGATCGCAGCAATTGACAGGTGCTCCCGGCTCATATAGTCGACTATCTCATCGATCTTTGTAACCCAAAGTTGGTAAGGGTGCTGAAGGTATTGCCGTAGAGGCTGGAAGTCTGCTTGGGCGCTGGCAGCATGGGGTCACATAACTTGTGGTCCACTACCTATTGGTCTTAAGGCCTGAGCAGGTCTTAAGGTGACTCCAACCATTGCACTGGTTGCAGCTAACCGCGGTGGAGGAGCGGTGTAGTCTCTTCTGGCACACGCAGCAGGACGGACGAGGGTTGGTTTCGACGCCAGCCCTGATATGGAGGATTTTGAGCAAGTCAGCTGAGGGGTGTTGCTCCGTTAGCGAGCCGTATAAAGTCCAGATCAACTCCGTAGTACGTAGAACCGGCTGTCTTGAGAGTTGCGAAACTTAAATTCAAATGAAGCGCTTATAATAATATATTATAAAATAATGATTAGCAAACAGTTATTAATAAGATGACTACACAAAAAATAAATAAATTTACTAAAAGAACAAATAATTTCTTAAAAATTGTTAGAGAAGTATATTTGAAGATAATTTGTTAATAAACATTCAATTCAAAATTGATATTGTAGAAGAAAAATTGCTAAATATCTCACATGCAATTCATTGCGCCAAGGCCAACATATTAAATTCATATACTACATACTCGTATTTTCAAACGAAGAAGCAGAGATTGGAGAAAATTCCATTTTTTAATGTTAATGAGGCTTAAGGGTTTACCGAAATAAAAATTGCTACAGATGACGAATAGATTATTTATAATTATATTATAAACATGACTTTTGCTAACCCAGGTCATTGCGAGGTACTTACCATATTTACATCGCTGAAGCGATTTTTCTCCTCCAATTTATTCTTTTCCAAGAAATGGAGGGACCTACGGTTTATACTAAGCCGAATCCGGACGGCTGATGGGTTTTTTATGAGGAGTTTTATTTCGTCTCAGAAATACACTCGGAGGAATTAACAGACCCTGCCGCAATTAGTAAATTTAGCATAATTTTTTATTTAAACTAATTTTTTTGGATGTTAGTATGACACCAAGATTTGAACCCGAGCCTTCCGAATGGCAGTACCCAATATTAACCATTCGGCTACCGCGGCCACCATTAGGCCCGTAAAAATGGGCGATAATTTCAGTGAAAATATAACGAAATGTAAAACTTATAATGAATTGAAATTCAATTTTTTTTAAAAATTTAACAATTTTAAATTACTCAATAGTATCATAGATATACAATAAATTGTAGTTCTTGTATCCCTAACCTTTTACGAAGTGAACAACCCAAGTGTGTAGAAATAAATAATCAGTATTTGTCACCGTTTAATTTCAACATAGCTCGGAGAATAAATATAATTATAATATAAGTTTAACCTAAATAAATTTCAATAAATCAAAGATCAAAAATTAAAATTTGATAATTTATTTTACAATAAAATAACATGCACAAATGCTTCAGCACTTTTATTCCGAATAATGACGGTAACTATTGTAATGTAAACCGTGGTTATCTAACACGTGCTAATCGAAACTACTAAGGTTTATGTAGATACTGGGCAGAATTAAGCATAATTACTCCCAACTAGTTCAATCCCAAAATATGTAGTAAAACCTTTAGTTGTTCAAATCAATTAAAAAAAATTAAAAATCAACTTAATTTAGATCTTTTGATAGAAATTAACAGAGGAAACTATTTTGTACATTTTAACATAACATTGAGGTCAGATGCCTAAATGTTATACAATAGTTTCTTTCCGTGTATATTCGAGTAGCCAAAGGGCTAAAGTTACAAGTATTTACTTGATGCTAGCACTTATTTAAACTCACTGCTTTTATAATTATTGCATTCTTAAAATCAATTCAATTATATATTTAATATTTTAAAAGTTAATTTCAAAATACCCTGCTGTCGGCTGTCTGCTTACTTGTAACTTCGGGATCGGTCGATACGAACGTTTTTTACTGACTAGTGTTATATATATATATTTCATTTACAATACACATTTCACTTAAGTTATAGTTTGATGAAATTCTATGAAATAACATTTTTTATAAATTTCAGTACTGAATAGATATCGAAAATTTACCTATAAGGAAAGTGAAATTTGAAGTTAATATAATACAATTGAAAGATCCTAGAGTACTGTAGAAACTTGAAGATCATATCACATCACTGTTTCAAATTACATTTCATTAACGGCTTATTCCTTAAAATATATACAAAAAACAAGTGGCGATATAAAAACGTAATATCTTGCTTGCTCAATATTTAAAACGCGACTAAAATTCAAGCTTACCTAAGAATCTGTTGATGTTGTATGACGCAGTATCGTAAGTACTCGACACGTCGTACTTTCGGCACCAGCGGTGAGGTGGATCTTAACAACATTAGGCACTGCACCTGAACCAACCCACAACAGTGTTTGCAAAGAACCATAAAGGTACATTGTACACAAATAGCACCTGGAAGTATTATAAAATTATTAAGAAATATTACGAAAGTTATATACTCGACTGTGTCAGTTATAAACAAGTATGCTAAGAATAAAGTAGGGCAGCGGTGACCTTAGTCCATAATTAACTTGAACTTTTTTGTATAAAAAAGAAATAACTTGATGGCATAAGCATGAAACGTTAGAAAATGCACTTGGAGTAATATTTCTTTTATTGTAAAAATCAAAATACGGTGACATGTGTAAAATTTCTTTATTAATATATTATAAGCTATAAGCAAATAGGGACCTTGGTTATTTAAATACCAAACTCGCGTCTACAAACCACGTATGTACATAGATCGACAAAGAAATGGAGAAAGGAATTTAGGAATTTTTATATAAAGGATGAATTGATGGTAGAATTTAAAGCAAGTCATTTTAGTAATTTTAGCTGCACGAAGAAATAAAGCGTGTGAATTTTAATATCCGACGAGATTGATATAATTACGTTTGAATTCATCACAACTGCGATGCTTATTTTGTCTTAAGCCTGCCAAATGCTTAGAGCAGACTTAACGAGAAAGAGGAATTTCAATGACAATCGGAAATTGGGCATACCATGAAGATCATAATCATTTAGAGAAGAAAAGAGGAAGAAAGCGTTATATCAATATTAGTAGAAAAATATGTTTGGGTACCCATCATTCAGCATAATACTATTGCATACTAATGCAGGTAAAAATTCTCAATTATATGACCTTTTGCTAAAATAGAAGAAAAAAAAATAAGAAGAAGAAATAAGATTTAACAAACCTGATGAAGAGGAACTAATATTAGCAAGGGAATATACACAAATAATCGAAATTTTTTAACTAAAAAGAGCTCCGCAGCGGCAGATGAAATAAAAGAAAAAGGGGAATAGGTTAAATAGGAAAAGTTCTTTTAGTTAGACTTGCAATAACTTGTTTGCAATTTGTAATACAAGGAAGATTATAAAAATAACCGACTACGGTTTTAGGATGGGCTCTGTAAAATTATTTGGAAAATAATTTTCGTTTAAAACAACATTAGTATCTCATAACAATTTGAGGTAATAAAGTAAAAGTAAATATTTAATATGACACTCTTTTGCCACCCACCTTTTCCCAGGCGGTTTATTTCTGTTTTATCTGATTATAAGACTCGGATCCAGTCAATTTGGGTGCAATTTTTATATTATTTTACAAATTTTTTAATTTGACACGTCCGCGCAATCCATTTTTCTACAAATTCTGATAACTTCTTTTGTTACATTTATTCCAACACCACGGAAGAGATTATACTTGTGTAATCGGCATTCGTTCAGGCTAGTTTTTTTATTTTGCAGTAAGGGTTTTATAACTTTTTTATTTTTAAAGCCCCACAAGTCTTAAAACTTCTCTGTTTTTGGTGTTGAAATCAATAAGGCTTTCGATTTCTTCTATTTTTGTTCCATTTAGTTTTTTCAGCCTTCGTCTACATTTTAAATTTTCTCTGAAAAGTAACGGCAAATTTTACCAAGTCCCCATGGAAATGCTATGTGATCAAATGTCCTGTAATTGTTTTAATGAAATCCTGAAGGTAACAATAAATGACTGCCAACCGCCTTACATTCCCAAGGTGTATCGACAGACAGTTGGGAACGAATGTTTGTTTATACACGTATTTGCTCCACTGCGTAAAACTGAACTATCCTTTTGGGAGACATTTTTTTCATTTTGGAAAGAGCTACCATGATCACTTCTAGATACGTAGTGGTGGGATGTCTTAATCATTTTCGTCCAAACTAAAATAAACCGAAACCTTTCTCCACTCAAAAGGTTGTTGATAGTAGATCGCATAAAATAATTTGTGACAGAGCCAAAAAAATGAACTATATGTTCGTTGTGTAATTCCTGACACTTTTATACACAATGCCCAGGCTTCAAAAAAATATCGATAAACAAAATTGTAAAAATTGCTTATCGCAAAATCATCGCAATAATGTTGGCCAGAGCAGGTTTGCATGTGCTTATTTCCAGTTACGGCACCATTCCTTGTTGCACCTAAATGTAAAACCATACGCTCAAACCGTTAGCAGTAGATCTCACGAAACTACTGTGCAACGCGCTAATGACAAGTCGAAATCCTTGTACTAGGTGACTCGTGGACGGTGTATTAACAATTTTCGAACTGTACTTATGCAAAATATAATAATCGATTGGACACTCAATTGTTTAACTTTTGGAAATATGAAGAAATTCCTCCGATTCCTTAAAGTTCAAGTAAGGATCAAGCTTGCAAAAACATGTACAGGTAAACCACAATTCGTGCCCCAAAGGGCAGGATTACAATCAAGGAAGGTTTTCCTGGAAAACTCTATTTAGACCATTCCCGATGGAAGCTATCATCCTTTCTACTTGCGACATCACGCCGTTATTGAACAGAATAAAAAGCTACAAAAGCTCTTTCTGTCAAGTGATTGCGTAGATTTTCCGTTTCGTAAATAAGCACAATCCACGTGAAGCTTAAACGAAAGACACCCAATAAAGTCCCAACGAAATCCAAGTTTAGCAAACTATGTTTAAAGTTTACTGATTCTTCATACAGATACCATACATGTGTGAATCTTCAAATGATCAGACAAGAGCACTTCATTCCCAAGCCCAAGCCCCTAGTTCAGCTTTGCTCGTATCTGACAACTGAAGCATTTTGAAAAGGGTTTACACGCTTCGGCGGCCGACGAGGATTCCCATACAAAATTGTTGGGCGACAACAGCAAAGCGCGCCAAACACAGCGACTTCAATAAATTTTATAACGAATTTTCCAACGATATTGCTGAAAATATTTTCCCAGAAGAGTTGCTGCATTTCATAAGTTTACGGTAGAGGCTTTCACTACACTACCAGCGCGAATTGAGGCAGTACCCAAAATATTTCTACACAAATACTATACCTTCACAGCACAAGCCTATTCCGTTAGCTACAAACGCAGCGATTGACCGTTCAGTTCGCAAAACAACGTGTGTCTCTAACCAGGAAAAGCGACAGCTACCCCAGACAATCTAATCTAAAGTCCTCTAGTGCGCACGCAAAGTATAAAACGCGGATTCTTAAAAAATTTAAATATACCAAAAGCTAAAAAAAACACCTTCATATTTGTGAACCAGAGGAAAATAATTAATAATGCATTCTGCTAACCCGGGGCAAGTATAAGTGTTTTTTTTTATTATTTTCAGTTAATGAACCAAGTTTTATATAGCCCCAATTTATAACATTGATGCAATGACTAATATCGAACTTCATTTTTGCGTAGTGCATGAGACTCTTATTCCCGGGGTCGTGAATTCGGGCCCAACTTTAGGCAGCACAAGAATGTTGCTACTCTGCCATCATACCACACTTTGTCAAAAGCTTGAGCCACATTAAGAAAAACGGCCGAGCAATACTCTCAGAATTCGAAAGCTTTCTTCATTTCATTTGTTATACGATTTGTTTGGTGGCCGAGTGGTTAGCATTGCATACTGCCATTCGGAACGATCGGGTTAAAATCCCCGTGCAACCAACATCCAAAAGTTATGGAAAAATAAAAAATTAAGTTAATTTTCTAATTGCGGTCGCTCCTCGGCAGGGAATGTCAGCCCCTTTGAGTGTATTTCTTACATGAACATCAAAAAAAAGCTCCTCATAAGAAAAAAACCATCAGCCGTTTGAAAGCGGCTTAGTATAAACTGTAGGTCCCTCCATTTTGTTGGTAAAAACATCAAGACGCAAAACCACAAATTGAAGGAGGAGCTCGGCCGAAAATCGCTTCAGCGGTTACAAAGCGCCAATTACATATATATATATACGATTTACTTGTTCTATTGTGCCGTGTTTTTCCCGAAAACCACTTTTTTGATAAGTTTGGACAGGCAAGGCAACAGGCTGATTGGTATTTATGATGGCGGCAATGTTGCTATAATATTTAGTTGCGACTTTTTCCATATTTGTGGAATGGCACTGAAAAGCTTTGCAAGAAAAATGAGAGTAATGCTTGGCAATTCTTTTAGCATTTTTGGTTAAATATGATCGTCCTCTAGGATTTTTTTTTGGATTTAAGGCGGTAATAATGTTTTTAAGTTCAGGAACAGATGCTCCGCAAGTAACCACACTATTTGTATCAGTTTTTGGTTGAAATACTGTACTAAGAGGCTCTGCTAAACAAGACCCCTTCTCTTCATCCGTTCTGGCCCATTAACAATTAAGCAGTCTCAGCGATACTTCAGTGCTTACGGACGGCTTTTCGCTAGCTTTCCATAGAGAATTTTTAGTAGAAACGTTGGGAGACAAAGACGTTATAAGATTTTTAATATTTATTTCTTCTTCGTATCTTAATGCTTTTTTTAGTTTGTTTTCTAGTATACTGCTAAATACAAGCAACTCATTTTTAATATCAGTTCTCCTCTCTATTTCCGGATCGATCTGTATATGACTGCATGTGTATTTTTTGTATCTAAGCCAGTTAGTTCTGGATGTATTAAGGCAAAAAGCACGCTCATTCAATTGCTCGTTCGTTCAGTTTAATCATTACTGAGGAATGATCAGAAGATTAGTCAGCACAGGTTTCAGTCATTACTAAACTTCTATCTACATTTTTAGTAACTGCAAAGTCAATCAGGTCAGGCAATCTCCTTGAGTCTGTAGGCCAGTAAGTTGGTTGGTTACGATCGTATTATAAAACTGACTCATTTGCAGCTAGGAACCTATCTCTTAGAGTCATAAAAAAGTCTCTAACTTGCTTCTCTGTTATTACGACACGTGGCGGACAGTAAATTGCTAGGGTGATCGAAGCTGACTGCAACCAATTTGTTGAAAAGGAATTGAGAAAGCTGTGCTTTAAATGGTTGTTTATGAGTATAGCTGTGCCACCATTAGCATTCCATAAGCAAAGCCTGAGTTCAATCACTTTTTTTTTTTGGAGCATATAGTTTTACGCCTTTATTAGGTCTTCAACCATACATTGCATGGTTGATATAAATTGTGTAATGC